GAGGGGGGCACCTCGGGGCAGCTCTGCCCCCTCCTGGTGGCGGGACGGGAGATCAGCCACGTGGGTGGGCGAGGCAGAAGAACCTTTATAGAATCCTTAGGTGACTTGAGCTGGCTACATCACAACGCCTCCCTGGTTATACATGACACGGTGTTGCATTGTAGGGCAAGTCTTAGTCAATGGAAGAGTAAAAAAAACATCTGTCCTTCCACGTAAAAACAACGTTTTCTTTTTCCACATACCATCAGTCACACGACCCTCTGGGAGTGCGTAATCTCCAACGGCATCGGTACAACGCAAGCAAAACGCTTGTGCCGGTTTTGCCCGTTCGGTGTCTCATCAGCTTTCTTGGACCGATCCTGGTGAGCTTTCCGGTATTTATAGATGTGGGCGAAAGTTCGTAGCTGTTGACATCGAACAGCGCCCAGTCGTGTTTCGTGTTGAGTCACGTCTAGGAAGCGAGCTGGATTGCGACATCGCGTATACGAATGTGGTTTCTCCGTACCTTCATCCAGCAGTTGAATAGCTCATGGCTGATGATGAAGTTGATGGTGCTGTGAAGGGAATGCTGTTGACGTGGGGAAGCCTTCAAGCAGCAGAGTATAGATCACGTGTCATTTCGATGGAATGTAGAGGCCCTTCATCCAGCAGTGGATAAGACCTTGGCCTTATGATGATGGTGTGGAGAGGCATCCGTCCTCTAGTGGGTAGACCGTGGCTCGTAATCACGGTTGTACCTTGCCTGGTACACAGGAGGTCGTGGGTTTGATGCCGACCCTGACGCCTGCCGTATATTCGGAGTCTGCATGCTCTCCCCGTGGACGGTTTTAGAATCAACACGAGTTTAGAGTAATTTTGGCTGCTGTCAATTTCCATACGATGAGCCACTTTGTCGAGCTATCATTAGTGCTAGTCAGGTCGGGTCTAAAAAAAAGAGCTGCGTAGGTCAGTGTGGGCCTTACCTGGCAAAAAAAAAAATATCTGGCGAGGGCAATGACGCGGTGAGGAGGGGAGACACGTGGACACCATGGGAGGGGGCACCCCTGTGCACCGACTTGGCTTGAGGGTGGAGAGTAGGGGTCAGGGCGTTGGGGCGGGTTCCTCCTCGGGTCGCCTTGATCTCTCCCTCCCCCGTCCCCCTGCCCACGTGTGGGAAAGGGTCCAGAGTTTGGGTGCGGTAATTGACCTTCACCTTCGTTCGCTGTCCTCACCTCCCCTCGCCGTCTGTGTCAGCTGCCCTGTTGTCCCCTCACCCCGAGGCTCATCTGTCCTCACCTCAGCTCACCTCTGGCATACACCTGTCCTCGCCTGCTCTGACCACTCCTCACCTCTGCAAACCTTCCGCTTACAGTTCCTCACCTTCTCTCCTACCTACACACCTTTCCCTCGCCACCACACACATCCTCTCGCCTCCTCAAACTCCACACACATCTCCTTACATCCACGCGTAACCACTGACGATCACAGACCTCTCCTTTAACCTACACACCCACCAACTTTCACTTCCCCTCTCCTCACCTCCACTCACCACCACCACCGACCTCTCCCCATCCCGCCCCTCTCCTAACAACCTCCTGTCACCTTCATACTGCTCCTTACCCCCCCCCCTCTCCACGACACGCCTCCCCTCGCCTGCACGTCCCCTGTCCACGCTCGCCCTCGCCTGCTGAGACCAGTCCCACCTGGTGCCGTAGAGGTGAGCGTCGGTACCACCGCCATCTCCCTGCCGCCCCCCCCCCCACAGCCCGCAGGTGTGCGGTTACCACCGCCGGCTATTTAGAGAAGCCCCAGGCCTGCATTCTTCGACGGCGGCCAAAAAACTCAAGGGCACCACAATGAGAGTGCAAGCGGCACCCGCGGGTAGACTGCTGGTCGGGCGGATGGGTGGGCATGGCGGGCGGGCGGGTGGCAGACGGGGCGAATGAAGAGGACACTGTTCACTCTCTCTCGCGCGCGCTCCTCCATTCATCTATTTTGGGGGTCGCCCAAAATATCTCGTACATGTCTGTGGGTCGCAATGTGTGTTGGGGGGCGGGGGCATTGTTAACTCGCGCTGTGCTTACCACCTCCCCTCGTCTCCCCCACTGTACCCCCCGCGTCTCCTCTACCAGTCCTAGCCGGGGTGCTCCACGGTGCCCAGAGGACGGGCGCGTGGCGCCGCCGCCGCCCTTCGCGCTCTGCTCACGAGATTTACGATCGCCGTGGGTTATTGCGGTAGCGAGTGTCGCCACGGTGCCTCGTGACCTCTAACGCAGCGAGACTGCCGTTTGTTAATTTTTGAACCGTGCAGTCGGTGCGGAGCCCTCACCCGCTGGCTCGCCCGCTCGCACTCCAGCACCACAACTTTCGCTTTCATCCCCCGTGGTGGCCTCCGTGGTACCTTGCTCCACATGGAGTGGTCCCATTCGTTCCATTTCTCTCGGCGCAGCGCTCCTGATTGTGCTTTTTGGGTTTGTGCCACCTGTTGATCGGAGCGGCGTCCGACGTTTCGGCCCACATGCTGGGTGGGAGCTTCGACACGAAGGACCCCGCGCCGAACAACACGTGGCACAACCTGAAAAACACGCCGGAGAGGGCTGCCCGGCACAACCGCGACGACCGATGCAGGCGGACGCCTCCTCCGCAGTGGGGAGAATGCTTCGCGTCTACAGAAACAAACTCTTTTTTTTCGTCAATGAACCACTCCACACTCCACTGCCGGTCAACTGAGTTTCACTTGGGCGCTCTCCTGAACCGGTGTCACACTGGACAAGGCGGACAGGTTAAACATGGGGTTTCGGAGACACGGGATACAACGACACGGGAATATGGAGACACGGACACACAGACGCGGGGACACAGGGATATAGCAACACGGGTACTTGGAAACATGGGGATATGGAGACATGGGGATCGTGGAAACACAGCGACACGGGGAATGCGGGGACTCGGTGCCCTTCATGTTCTCCACAGCGATGCCAAATTGGGCATCCGGGATATCCCCCAACGAGTGATTGTGCACACCACGCTGTGCATTGCGGTGGGCAACTGGCCCCTCTGCACAGAGCGGACGGAGGAATGATAACGCCGAGCACTGCAGATAATGTCTCGGTGGCCTGGCTCGACCAAGTGCGCAGAGACGAGAAGAAAGATTCCACTGATGGATGATGGGGGTGCGGGGGGGGTGCCTGTCTGTGGTCCTGTCTGTGTGTGTGGTTGGTGTTTGCTGTGTGTGTGACCTGATGTGAGAGCCTATAGCAATGCAGTGATTTGTCATCAGCAGCAGCAGCAGCAGCCGCCACAGCGGTCATTATCTATCCACTGCTGGATTTACACCTCCTCTGGCGGTTGTGCGATCACACCGCATCCAGCAATACCTCTCGCTATGACTGTGACCACCGCAAATCACGTGCCACCCACTCCAGCCTTGGCTACCGACCCAGAAAATATTCGGTGAGAAATGAGGCCGTGACTGTAGAGGGGGAGGACGAATGTTTGACCTGGCAGCCCAGTGCCAAGTGCGTTTCTAATATTAGCAGCGTGCCGAGTCACTTGCTCTCTCTCAAGTAGCTCTCTGAGCACACAGGCGAGAGAGACGCTTACTGTCCGAGTGTGGTCAGAGTTTACCGTCAACTCTGATTTCCCGCACCTCAGATCAGCCACTCGTATGTACAATACATACATAGGTGTGGCTTGTCAAAGGCGTTTGAAAGTCATCTTGGGCCTATTTGTGGATGCCACCACACTGGTGTGATGGGTTAAACACTGGACTTGCAAATCCAGAGGGTGTGCTGGTTTGTGATTTCCTGGTGTGGCAGTTGAAACAATGGACAGGTTTTTTTTTGTTCCATAATAGACGTTTTTTGGGTTAGATCGTATAAATATATAAATGTGTCGTTAAACCCGCCACAATCCGACACGGCCAACTAGTAAGGGTTGTCACGTAAACAGAACGTGCCAATTCGTCACTAGTACAGCACTAGTGTGTAGTAGTGGTGTATAGTGTCGTGTATAGTAGTATATATTTTAGTGTAGTGTGTAGTGTAGTTTACTAGTACAGCACACCGGTTGTGTGTTGGAGAGCCAAGCCACAACATTTACAATCCGAGTACGACGTTTCGCCAGTAATTACAACCAGCTTCATCTGGCGACAGCCAGATTTGGCTCCCCAACACACCGGCTAGTGCTGTACCAGGTGACGAAAATGGAACGTTCTGTTTACGTGACAACCCTTACTAGTTGGCCGTGTCAGGTGGTGGCGGGTTTAATGACACATTTATATATTTATACGCGATCTAACCCAAAACACCTCTTATGGATGATATTAGTTGCAAAAGCCTCCTACTACGTGTTAAACAGGTTTTTTTTTCACTTCACCTTTGTCTGCTGAGCAGCGTGAATGGGCCCACCATGGTTAAACCTTTCCTCACTGCAGGCCAATGTTTGTTGGATTTCTTTCGCACCATACTTAGACAACCGTGGTGATCAGAGGTGGCGGGGGGGAAGGACAACAAATTAAACAAAGTTTTTTTTTTAACTGACGCGTCGACAGATAATGGCGTTGCCACGTGGTGAGACGAGAGACACGGGGGATAGCGATGGTTCATGAACCGCACTTGCCCCAACAGTTTGTTAAAGGCTATATGGGGGACCTTTGTGTGGCGGGCAGGGACCGGTGGGGGGGGGGGGCGGCGATAGTGTCATGGCTATTGCACTGCGCCACTCATCCGGTGACCCGGGCTCCATTCCCGTTCATGACCAATAACATTGACTATTTGAACCGGTCCCTGGGCATTCCGTAGGTTGACTGGGCCTTAAATGAGTAACCTGAAAACATCAACATCGGGGAGACAAAGGCGGCTGAACGGAGTTGTTGGCCACCTTCCCCCGCCATATGCTGTGCCGGCATTCATGGGCGCTACTTGCGAACTGCACTCGCCCCAACAGTCTGTGAAAGGCAATCGTCAGGGGGGATCTTCATCTTCGTTGTGTGTGTGTGTACGTGTCCATTTCGACCGCAGATGCCAACAAGCGCATCAAGGTGGCCAACCCCGTGGTGGAGATGGACGGTGATGAGATGACCCGGATCATCTGGGAGATGATCAAGGAGAAGGTACTCGCTGATGCGGTGACGAGCGTCCGTGTGTGTGTACCTAAAAGTACTGCAGTCAGCCTCTGTCTGTTTCATGTATGTATGTTGAACTTCTTTCGCGCTCTCCGTAGCCAACCATGCTAATCGGAGGCACGGAATGATGTTTGTAGTTTTGTGCTTCGATCAGTCTTTGCGTAATCTGCCCGAGCCGACTTGTACCCGTGGCGGTCTCCTGCAGCCACCGCAGGTGCTGCACTCGCCGGCGGGATTCGGGGAAAAAATGAATTCCTGAATGAGATCGTGGTGGAATTACTCTGGTCCCACCAGTCCCAGTAATTTCTCCATCGTACAGAACAGGACAGGTGTTACCAGGGCCATTCGTAGGGGATAGGGGACGGGGTAAATCGGGCTGTGTGGGTCTCCTGACGCCTTCAAACTAAACTGGAAATATTACATCTGACACCGTGACGTCTTCATTGGTTAATTGTTCGGGCTCTGCTAACGACGTTGCCGGGCGCCGCGTGTCACCCTCGTCTCCCCGCCACCCCCCCCCCATGGCACCCCGTAGCTGGTTTTGCCCTACGTGGACGTTGACCTCAAGTACTACGACCTGGGCCTCCCGTACCGCGACCAGACCAACGACCAGGTGACCATCGACTCGGCACTCGCCACGCTCAAGTACAGCGTCGCAGTCAAGTGCGCCACCATCACTCCCGACGAGCAGCGCGTGGAGGGTCAGTGTGTGTGCGCACGGTCACGCACACACGCACGCGGATTCACTGGCACACACACAAATGTGAACATGCGCTTGTGCACACACGGATATTGCGCAGAGGATCCATAGACTTGCACGCGGATCTTCGTAGAGACCTCACGCGCTCGCGCACACGCGCGTTCTCAGCATGATTAATTCCCCTCCCTCCAATGGGTGACCTTATCCTGACCCCACCGTGACCCCCATTCCCCACCGTGAACCCCGCAGAGTTCAAGCTTAAGAAGATGTGGAAGTCTCCCAACGGCACCATCAGGAACATCCTGGGCGGCACCGTGTTCCGCGAGCCCATCATCTGCAAGAACATCCCGCGCCTCGTGCCGGGATGGACCCAGGCCATCACCATCGGGCGCCATGCCTTCGGCGACCAGGTGAGCATCTCCCGGTCGGCGCCATCAACGCCGCCGTCAACGCCGCCACCGCCACGTCAGCCTGGCCCGGCCCGGCCAGGCCTGACAGAACTGAGCTCTGCGACCGTCGGACTCTTGACTGACTGATGGTGGTGATGGTGCTGTTATTGTTGTGATGATGTATATTTGTATGTATGTTGAAATTCTTTCGCACCGTACGTAGCCAACTCACACCGTACGGGGGTGGTGTTGTTGCTGGTGTAGTGGGGGTCGTTTTGTTGTTGCTGGTGTAGTGGGGGTGTTGTTGTTGCTGGTGTAGTGATGGTTGCGTTGTTGCTGCTGTAGTGACGGCGTTGTTGCTGCTGCTGAAATGACGACGGTGGTGTTGTTGCTGCTGTAGTGATGGTTGCGTTGTTGCTGCTGTAGTGATGGTTGCGTTGTTGCTGCTGTAGTGATGGTTGCGTTGTTGCTGCTGTAGTGATGGTTGCGTTGTTGCTGCTGTAGTGACGGTTGCGTTGTTGCTGCTGTAGTGACGGTGGCGTTGTTGCTGCTGCTGAAATGACGACGACGGTGGTGTTGTTGCTGGTATAGTGATGGTGGCGTTGTTGCTGCTTGCTGCTGCTGCTGTAGTGACGGTGGCGTTGTTTGTTGTTGTTTGTGCGTGTAGTACCGTGCGACCGACTTTGTGGTGGACAAGCCCGGGGTCTTCAAGATGGTCTTCACCCCCAAGGACAAGAGCACCCCCAAGGAGTGGGAAGTCTTCGACTTCCCTGCCGGCGGCGTCGGCATGGGCATGTACAACACCGACGAGGTGAGCATGGTCACGTACAACACCGAGGTGGGCTTGGTATTGTACAAAACTGACAAAGTGAGCATGGTAACCTACATTGATAACAATGATGACGTGAGCGCGGGGGGGGGGGGGGGTCTCGCGGACACGGAGTTGCTCACCCCTCGGTGAGTGAGGGGCATCATCGCACCCTTTGGCCGGCGTGCGTCCCCATATGTTGCGTGTCGTTTGTTTCCTCGCGAGCGCAGTTCACCCCGGAATCCTTGACCGTTGACGACTTGACCCAGTCCTGTGTGTGTGTGTGTCTTCCACACCCCCCCCCCCCCCTTTACCCACTGTAGTCCATCTCGGGCTTTGCCCACAGCTGCTTCCAGTACGCCATCGGCAAGAAGTGGGCCCTCTACCTCAGCACCAAGAACACCATCCTCAAGGCCTACGACGGCCGCTTCAAGGACATCTTCCAGGAGATCTTTGAAAAGTACTACGCTGCTGCTGCTGCTGATTTTCCTTCGCCCATCCTTCCTCCCGCGAGTCGCCGTCCGCCGTCGTTTATCGTTCCGCTCGTTCTCGCCGCCCCCAGCTGGAGCCGCCTCGCCGAGCCTCGAGGGTTTTTCAGGAGGCTCCTGGCGAGTTTTCCCGGCAGCCGGGGGGGGGGATCGGTGAGAGCGGGGGAGGCCATGTTGCTGCTTCGTGCGATCCCAAATGAGTAGCTCTGCCGTAGCACCGGCGCTCGATGGCGCGCTGCTCTTTTCGAACGACCCCGCCGCGGGATCTTTTAACTTTACGCCGTGAAGCGGACACCACGGAGTGTTATGCCGTCTAACCCACCTGCGGTATTAACAGGGGCGGCCTGCCGGATTTGAACCACAGACCAACGCGATGAGTGGGGGAACGCCCTATGCCGCTGAGCTACATCACCGCCTCCCCACAAGTCGTTGCGTGGCGCGGTGTGGCGTCTGTTGGGTGGTGTGGCGCGGTGTGGCGTTGGGTGGTGTGGCGTACGGTGTCGTGGTGGCGGTGTGGTGTTGGTGCTGGTTCGATGGGCGCGTCTCTCGCCGGCAGGAGCTACAAGCCGCAGTTCGACAAGGCGGGCATCTGGTACGAGCACCGCCTGATCGACGACATGGTGGCGCAGGTGCTCAAGTCGACGGGCGGCTTCGTGTGGGCCTGCAAGAACTACGACGGCGACGTGCAGTCCGACATCCTGGCGCAGGGTGAGCGCAGGGGGGCTGACCGCTGACCGCTACTCGCCCACTCCACTCGCTCGGCCAGCTGACCGACTCAACCGCTCCCTTTCCTACACGGCCACTCGCGTTCCCGCTCGCTAAGCCATTGGCCTACGCGTGCCCACACTCGTCTGCTCACTCGAGCCATTGAGACGCACACTCCTCCACCCACTACGAACACGCTCGCTGTCCTAATCACGCAGTCACTTCGGCTCTCAATCGCCCATTGCATCATTCATTAAGACGCACACTCACTCGCCCACCCAACCACTGACACTCGCTTTCATTGACGTACGCACTCACTCGCCCACTTCTCTACTCGCTCGGCCGGTCACTAACCTGCTTGTTCAACCACCACCCCCCACGACCGATGCATGCACTCGCTCGCCCACTCACTCGCTCGCCCACTCACTCGCTCGCCCACTCGCTGACTTGCCCACTCACTCACTCACTTGCTCAAAAGTCACACACTTGTGCTACGAGGCTGAAGAGTTTAATTCTCGCTCAAGACCCATAACAGGGGTTAAAATTTGTCCTGTGCCTTAAATAAGTACCTGGTATAGTGTGTAAACATCAGCACTGGGGAGACAAAGGAGGCTGGGCGTGGATCTGGCCACACCACACCCCCCTCGTGTGCCATCCCGGCCTGCGTACGTGCTCGTGAACGGCACTTGCCCCAACAGTCCATTAAAGGCTACACGGGGAATCTTTGTCTGTGTGCGCGGTCAGGCTTCGGCTCGCTGGGGCTCATGACGTCGGTGCTCGTTTGCCCGGACGGCAAAACCATCGAGGCGGAGGCGGCGCACGGCACGGTGACGCGCCACTACCGCGAGCACCAGAAGGTGGGCACCACCGCCACCACACGGGCACCACCATGCAGAGACTGCCGCCACCACAGTACCACCACTACCACCACACAGATACCACCACCACCATCACACAGATACCACCACCATCGCACAGATACCACCATCTCTACAGAGATACTGCCACCAACACAGGCACCACCGCCATCACAAAGATACCACCACCATCGCACAGATACCACCACCGCTAGCACACATGCCATCACCACGCTAGACGTGGCCACCGACCCTCTCCGGTCCTCGCCACGTGGCGGTGCCGCCGTTGGTGTAGCGCCGGGCCGCGCATCGCTCGTTAACGACCAAGCGTCCGTCGCCGTGCCATTGCAGGGTAACCCGACGAGCACCAACCCCATCGCCAGCATCTTCGCGTGGACCCGCGGCTTCGAGCACCGCGGCAAGTTGGACGGCAACGCCGACCTCATCAAGTGAGTGCCGGCGTGGCCTCGCCCGCCCGCCACGCAGTGCAGCCCACCGCGGTCTTGTACGTTCACTGCGGTGCGCGCCGTGGTGTCGTGTTCAACGCGGCGTTGTGCGTTCACCTCGGTGCGCTGCAGGTTCTCCCAGACGCTGGAGCGCGTGTGCGTGGAGACGGTGGAGAGCGGCATCATGACCAAGGACCTCGCCGGCTGTATCCATGGAGGGATGTCCAAGTACGGTCACGGCTCGCTTACACGCTCACTCATCCACCCACCCACTCGCTTGGTCACTCACTCACACGTTCACCCACATGCACGCATCCGCACGCTCGCTCGCACGCTCACTCATCCACCCACCCACTCGCTTGATCACTCACTCACTCACACGTTCACCCACATGCACGCATCCACCCACTCACTCGCTCACTCACATCTTCACCCACTTACTCGCTTGATCACTCACTCACTCACACGTTCACCCACATGCACGCATCCACCCATTCACTCGCTCACTCACATCTTCACCCACATCAAATCATACACCCACTCACTCACATGCTCACTCGTCTACTCGCATGTTCACTAATCCGCTCGTACGTTCAGTCATTCGCTCGCGCATCACTCATCCACCCACCCGCTTGCTCACACGTTCACCCACACTTCTGCCCACTCACTCATTCACCATCCCCTGTTAATTTGACTTCTGTGGGGGCGAGCTCTCCAGCCCTGTGCAATGGGAGTGCGTGGCAGGGTATGCGAGGGCGTGGGCATGGCGTGGGCACGCTATCTCACTAGGCAGGATGTTCACACCAGCTCGAGGTTTATCCGTCGCCAACGCTGCGTAGATTAGCAACGGGAGATTTCAATCTGGAATTGCCTCCCGTTTGATGCACTGAGCAAACACGGCGACTGCTACTTCCAATCTCTGAATACACAGCGCTATCCGCCGAGCAAGCCCAGGGCCAGTAGACTGGCCCATCGTATCTGACCTTTGATCGTGGCTGGTGGACCAGCCATATGTTTTTGAGCCTGGCTTCATGTGTGGACGATGAAGGAGGGGCGGCGGGCAGATGGGAGGGGGGGTCAGGAATGGGATGGGTCGGAGAGTGTGTTGACTCTAACCCAGTGCGCGTGTTTGTGTGTTTGTGTGTTGTGCATATTTGGTAGTGGGTGGGCGGTGGCGCAGTGGTTTGCGGCACAGCGCTAAGAACCCGGCGACCCGAGTTTGATTCCCGCTCACGGTCATCACCAGTGACGATTGTCTGAACCGGTCCTGGGCCCTCCCCTATCTCGAGTCAGCCTTAAAATGAGTACCTGGCGTGGTGTGGAAATGTCCTGGCCTTAATAGGTGCTCGCTAACAGAACTTGCCCCAACAGTCCTGAGACTATACGGGGGGGGGGGGGGATCTTTGTCTTTTTCTTTTGTCCGTGTGTGTATTTTATGTCTACGTGCGTGCCTATCTTGATCCACCCGTGTGCGCGTGTCTCCGCGTGTGTTGGTGCGTTGCAGCGTGAAGCTCAATGAGCACTACGTCATCACCACCGACTTCCTGGAAGCCATCCACAAGAACCTGGAGAAGGCTCTGGGCAAGAACTAGGCCCCGCGGGCACCTCCAGTGCACCGCCTCGCCCCCCACCCCCTCCTCCTCCTTCGCGTCTCAAACATTTCAGGGTTTAACTACGGCCCTGGTGGGGGGGTGTGGGCGCACGAGGTCTCCGGCGCTGACCCAACAACAAAAACCCGGTGCGGAGTACTGCCTGCGCCCCCCCACCCCCGACCCCCTCAGGGCTGTTACTGCATTTGGGAGTCGAGCGAACAATCGAGAAACCGGGTGAGAGAAGGGAAAGAAAAAACCAAAAGGCCGATCCCGCAGCACGCATTTTAAATGTTTTTAGTATTTATACTCCGCTTGCCTTTCCTGCTGTCCCGGGATGCTCGGGAACCAGGTGACCCCCCCCCCCCCCCCATTTTTTTAGGGTGTAAAAACGTCGCGTCCAGAAGAGGGGGGTGTCGTCCCCTTTCCCGCGTCCCAGAACAGTTCCGCAAGTGTCATAACGCGTTGCCGGTGCGGGGTGGTGGGGGGGGAGGGGCGCTGATGCGGACCCTCCGGCACGTGGCATCCTCCCACAATGCACCTGTCCCGTGCACAGCTGATTAGCTTACGAGCTATCCCTCCTCCGCCTCCGGCCCCCCGCCGCTCGCTGGTTTTAACGCCGGCACGTCGCTCGACTACCACGGATCGCCTCCCGTAGTGGTTTTTTCTTTCTCTTCCTCCCCCCGCCCCCCCCCCATTCTTGCCTTGCCCGGTTCATCTCCACGGTCTTTATGAACGCCGTGGCGATTTTTTGTGTTGCACGTGTGCCTCTCGTGATCCAACCCGGTGCCAAACTCGACTCTTCCAATAAACCATTTCGGGAAAACCCACTCCTCTCGCCCACGTTGTTGTTGTTGTTGTTCGTCGTACTTTGGACCGCGCAGCGCGCTGACACCCCCCCCCTCCCCCAGAGCTCTGACCCCCCCCCCCCAGCGCTCTGACCCCCCCCCCCCCACCCGGTGTCTCCACTATAACCTCTTGACGCTGGAACTTCCACGGCGCTGGTGGTGCTTTTCTAACTGGTGGTTTGACTCGCCAGGCACCTCCGATTTGGCACGGTTGGCTACGTACTGTGCGAAAGAAGTTCAACGTGCAGCGGTCCCTCGGTTAACGATGTTAATTTGTTTCACAAAAAACATCGTCAATTAAAATTGGCGTTAGCATGCATTTCCTATATTCGATTAAAGACTTAATTTGTTCAAAGACTATCGGAAGTTGACCTTTTTCACCGTAAAAACGTTCATAATATTTAAACGGAGCAATTTTTATTAATACACGTTATAAGAACATATTAAAGCATTAATTTTAATAGAAACATCTATATAAATAAATACCTTAATCTGTGTCTCAAAAACCTCTGGGGTCCTTCCCGACATGGTAGAAACCTGAAATTTGGTACATAGGTAGCTTTTAAGACACACCAGGAACAATCTGAAAATCCGAGTTTTCAAATCTCTATTTTAAGTGCCCCATGAACATGTTTGTGCGTGTCATTCAGAAAACATTCAAAATATAAGTTTGCAGGTTTTTTTTACTTTTATAGCATTAAGCAGCAGTTACAATTAAGGCGAGAAACATTGTTATATCTTTGTTTTTCAGATATTTCGGATTAAAGCGGGTTTGAACGAAAAAATACGCATTTTATAACGTTCAAATTTGAGCAATTCGCAAACGGTAAGAGTATTAAGTTCATATATTTTTGTTCTTTTTAATTAGCAAAGAACGGAATCCTTAAACTGAGCGGTTTTGGATGGGTATGTCTTTGTAGCGGTTCACACGAAGGAGACCGAGACTAATACAGGTAGGAACAACAGGTTCCACACTGCCCACCAGGGATTATTTGTCTGTTGTGCATATCCGGAATTCCGCCCACCCATGCACCTCCCCACCGAACACCGAGCTTCGCCGCGATTGGTTGACGATGTCGAGGAGGGTGGGGGGGAAGGGTAAACACGCCCACTTATCCAACTGCCCCCCCCCCCTGAACGCCGCGCTGTCCAACCAAGTTCCTACCTGCCCACTCCGAAGGAACGTGTTTTGGAGGCAACGCGTTTTTAAATCCTTTGTATTAAGTTCACTTGCTTGCTTGCTTGCGCGCTTACGACCGTGCAAATCTTTCGGTCGTTTTTTAACCCACTTCCCGTGATCCAATCGAGCTGACATGCGCACAGACTCTTGCGTGACAATTTATTTTCGTAAAAAAATGTTTCCAAAATTTTCCACTTTTTAGGAAAATTTTTTTTCATATTTAATTTAAAATACCAATGTGATAAAAAATGAAACTCTTACTCAAGAAAAACAGAAATGAATAATAAAATAAAACCGATGCCACGCATATAAAGGATTTATAGTGAAAAACTTTGTTTTTACGGGTTAATTTTATTGAACATTAAACCCTAACCACGAAGGGGGATGCCTGTCCCCTCACTAGCTACCCTAAGGCTAGCTAACCACATGGTGGCTATCTCGGACCGGACCCTGCCTCGGGTCCGGGTCCTGTAGTCGGGCAGGTCTTCTCTTGCAACAGCTGCCGGACCCGTTCAGGGGTCCGGCTCTTATCACCATCCCGGAGCTTCCTCCGCCCCGAGCGACGCCTCCCTTCTCGAGCCTTCGAGAAGGACCTGGTCCCGTGGTCCCCCCAGCCCCCTTTTTGGGGGCCCCTGGGCTGGTACTTCCGGTCACCAGGCCCTCCGGGTTCATCCGGAGGGCCATGGCCCCCTAGGCTTTGGGGGCTAACGCTGCACACGGAGTGAGCAACGCGTCTCGTGCTTGACATACAGGCCGGTTCCACGTGACATGCAGTGGCATCCCCCGATGCCGCTACATCTTGAAATATAACAAGTTGAATCTGGTGGTCAGCTATTTTGCGTGTGGAAAAATACACATTTTTGGAGTATACTCTTTGGTTTTCTCGGTAAAGTCACGTAGGTAAAAAAGAAAATGTATTTGTTTTATTTTTCACAGACGTGACTTTACCGAAAAAACCAAAGAGTATGGATCCTTGCAGTCACGAAAACTTCAAATCTAGAATTTTTAGAGTCGTTGGTGTCTGATCGTAGGTAAAAAATGTAAAAACATCCTATCAGGTTCATTATATTTATTGAAAACTTTTGCCTGGTAAAGAAATGCTTTATGAACTAGTGGATAAACAATGACCAAATAGAACATAAAAAGGTGCATAAATAGAGCATAACATAAAAAAATGTTTTCTTTAAAGCTTTCGTGATTGCAGGGATTGATATTCTTGGTTCTTTCGGTAAAGTCACGTAGAAGGGAAATAATAAAATAACACAAACATAAAACAATTAAAATTATCACGACGTTTCGACTGCAACACAGCCGGGTACGGGTAGCCGGGTATCGGGTAGGGTACGGGTATCGGGTACCCGGTTGCGACCTCTGCCTCGTGCCCTTCAGACCCGGCTCGGAAACGCCTGTGCTGGTCGGTGCGTCCTGCAGGGGTCGCTGCAACACAAGGAGGCCGCTTTCCGATCTGAGTTACATGCTAATTTCTCACATTAACATCACTAGCCCCGGCCACTTCTTTATGACCCTTGGGCTACACCCATTTCAAACCTTTTAAAAACAGTCTGCCTCGGCAGCAGACCGTGCTTTTCCACCTGATGACGGACGCTTGTGTTGCGCCCGAAACGTCGTGATTAATTTTATTTTCTACCTACGTGACTTTACCGAAAGAACCAAAAAGAGTATGGATTCCTGCAGTCACGAAAGCTTTAAATCAAGATTGCAGAATTGTTTTTTTGTGTGTGCGGGTTTGATCGCGTAAATATAAACGTGTCGTTAAAACCGCCACCACCCGACACATCCAATTAGTAAAGGGGTTTGTCCCGTAAACAGAACGTGCCAATTCGTTACTCGTACAGCACAGCGGTGTTCAAGTTCAAGTTCATTTATTAGGTATAGCCCTGTGAGCCATTCAGCTCTTGAATCGGGTGCAACCGCAACAAACAAAAAACAAAAACATGAACAAAAAACATCTTAAAGTGAATATGTGACTAAGTGCAAACAGAAAATTCAAGAAAAGACAGCAAAATATTGCAGAAAAAACACCGCGTGCCGGCTGGTGGCGGGTTTAACGACACGTACATTTAGGGGGCCGTCCATAAATGACGTCACGCGATTTTGGACGATTTTTTTTACCCCCCCCCCATCGTTACACGGCGTCACAAAAAGTCAGACCCCCCCCCTCAAATGACGTCACAAAGCTAGCGAAGTTGTGGGAACGGCAGCCGTGGCAGTAGCGATAGAAGAGAGACGAGAGGGGCGGTTGACCAACCCGCACCGCCACCGATGAGCGAGCCGGCGCATGGCAAACGGTTGCTCAACTTCTGCATTCGAGGCACCCGATTGGTTGCTCAACCGCGAAGGAGCACGCGGTGGCTATGACGTGGGGCGCCATGGCCCCGGGGTGAGGGGACGGTGGTCATAGCGGTCGAGACTCGAGACGTAGCCGCAGCCAGAAGAGGAACCCCCCCCAATTGCAAGATCGCCCCAAGTTCTGCTTCTCGCTTGTGGGTTTGGTTGGCGGCGATTCTCAATGTCGAACTTCTTTCGCGCCGTACGTAGCCAACCGTGCCAATCGGAGGCACGGCGCGAGAACCGATGGGAATTTGCGAGGGTAATAAGTCGGCACGGAACGACGCGCCGAATCTTCCACCCCGCCACGTGCCGGTGAGAACCGGTAACCCCCTTCTCAGAATCGGTTCTGGAGAAGTTAAGAACCCGGTGATGCAAAGTTCGCCCAAGGCGGTAAACGTCAGTTGCGAGTGCACCGATTGGCCGCGCGCGAACGTGCTCAGGGCACGGCGCAGGCCTCGGTCACCGCGTGCTTACATTTACCGTGACCTCGTTGGTATTTGGCCTACTCTTCCTTGCTTGAGCGGTCGTCGTTGGAAGAAGTGGGCTTGCCCCTACGACCTCCTGTATACCAGGCGAGGTAGTTAACATCTCCTAGCTACCGTAGTGCCCCACTTCGTTGAGCTATCATTTGTGGCCAGTTCGCTTCTGAAATATGAAACTAATCGCTCAGTGGGATTTAGCTTGTAAAATAAAAATCGTGCTTTTGTATTCATCTTCTTGGTTCTTTCGGTAAAGTCACGTAGAATGGAAATAATAAAATAATAAAAATAAAACATAATAAAATAATTCTCACGACGTTTCGGCCACAACGCAAGCAGCTGTCCTCAGGTGGAGAACAGGTCTGTCGGGAAGACAGAGTCTGAATGACCTCATTCAAAATGACCTCATTCAGACTCTGTCTACTCGACAGACCTGCTCTCCATCTGAGGACGGCTGCTTGCGTTGTGGCCGAAACGTCGTGCGAATTATTTTATTATGTTTTATTTTTATTATTTCCATTCTACGTGACTTTACCGAAAGAACCAAGAAGATGAATCCCTGCAGTCACGAAGGCTTAAAATCGTGTTTTTTATTGTTTGTTGTCGTAACTTTCTGACCCGCCCTTACTGGACACCTGTGAAAAAGAGCTTTATAGCTCATCGGATTCCTCCGGGATAAATAAAGATTGTATTCACCCAGCAGTGGATAGACCATGGTTAACGAAGATGCACAGGGTGCACAAGCACACACGATGCAAGGATGGCCCGCCATCAAACAAAGACAGTGGTCCCCGCATCGCCGACTTTCAGATGCGCTTCTGCGGCCGTCTGGAACGCTCTTCCTTGCGATATTAAATCATCATCATCATCTGGATTGACAAACTAATTTCTTTGGAACTGCTTTTGGCTTTTAGTTTGTCGTCGTTCCCCGCACCTCCGATTAGCGCGGTTGGCTTGCATACGGTGCGAAAAAAGTTTG